CCCGTTTTACAACAGCACTCAGCCTTACAAGATACTCTAAGAATATCCCAAACCCGAGAGAACAACACTCTCACCTGAATGATTAAATCCCCTAATCACTCGACTGAAACTCACAATCTGGAATTGAATCTGAACCCTAACACAGAGAGAATAGCCGACTCAAAGAATAACCCTAGTCTCTTTCGTTTTCTCTGTTTTGAATGACTGTATCAAGCGCTTATATACGGTTGACTCTGTGATTGATCCTGGCCGTCCAATCTGAAACGAATCCTGTGGTCTGCATTTGCCCAAACTAATACGCCTGAACGACGCCGTATTTGAGTTACTTAAACGACGCTGTTTTCAGACTTCCACATTTAACAGGAGCCATAACACAACTCAAGGAATCCCTCCAATTAGCAGCTGGTGATACGTACAAATCAAAATTGGAATTATATAGCACCTTGCTAGTTTGGTAATCACGGTTATAAAACTTTTTTTTATCTTCAGTATCTTGCTCATGAAATCTACGTATCCCATCAATCATTTTATCCAGCATGCTTACTGGAATGCCATGATTGATAATCTGAAAGAATCCCCATTTCTGGCAAGCATTTTTAACTTGTTTAACTATCTCGGAGTGTAAATTTGCCTCTTTCCTGACGCCAGCTAAATCTATTACTGGGATAGTAACATTGGACTCTGCAGACCCTGATTTACCGAGCTTAAGGTTGTCATGTATGAATATCTTTGGAATCTTAGTCAGCCCTGGCATCAACAAGTCCATTTACACCTGCTTGTGTGTCATCAAATGCCTTCAATTCATCTTTGCGGTTGTAGCTGGATCCAGTTTGTGCATGAGTATCACTATCACCAGAGCTTTTCAGACTGGTGACCATCGTATTTTTCGTTTCGTTTTACGTCTCCGAATGTGAGATGTGAATGGGAGAGTTCAGGGTAATTAATTAAATCCTTTGCGAGTGCTGCTCGATTATCGAAGAAAGCAATTTGTTTCTGTATATTAAAAGACAACTCATTTGCTTAGGATTAATCATACCCAAAGAAAAAATATATAGTAAAGCCCTTCCAAAGTAACTGTTTTTTATCAATAAAATTCTAATGCGACGGATCTTTTCAACAACATTTTAAAAGCACATACAAATCTCCAAAAAAAAAAAAAAAAAAAAAAATTCCACACAAACAAATATCTAACAGACCTCAGCATTGCTAGAATACGCATTGATCTTAATTTTTAACTATATAAATAAATATCAAATTAATTTATGAATTAGAGAGAATCAATATAGTTTCAAAGATAGTAAAAATTTTTATTATCTCTTGATAGTTGAATAATTCGATAAGAATTCTTATTATATTAATCAAAAAATTATAGGTTTAAATCCTTCTTTAATTACAAATAAGGGACGTTATGGAACTCTTATTCGATCGATAGTTTCAAGGTTTTAAAAGATTAATTAAGATATGTGTAAACTGGTTTGAATATTTTGATAAATAAAATAAAAAATAAAAAAAGATATTTAGTGGTAGTGGGTACAATGATTTTATTAAAACAAATTGTCACCAGATATTTTTATAATAATGCAATCAATTTAGCCCAAAACTCCAAGGCAGTCAACGGCTGACCATGAAGAGTCGAAAGACAATTTTGCCTAAATCATTAAAACAAATTGTCACCAGATATTTTTATAATAATGCACTGAATTTAGCCCAAAACGGCAAAACTCCAAGGCAGTCAACGGCTGACCATGAAGAGTCGAAAGACAATTTTGCCCCTAATCCGTTTCAACGATACTATAAAATACAACACATTTCCCAATTCCCACCAACAACCACCGTAATCAACACACTGTCTGAGGATCATCATCACCTCCATTAATTGCAATATAAAATGAGTATTTATTAAATAGATGCAGGGAGTTGCTTGAAAGATTATGGTTAAGTTCCTTATGTTCATTTACAAAATTTCTAGTTTTATTTAATCAAAATATTTTCCATTTATCTTGACGGCTTCTTTGGTTTTCCAGGCGTCGGTATCTAAGGCAGTGATTCCGGAGGCGGAAATAACAGCGAACCTCGAACATAATTCATTTGGTTCAATATTATATCCATAATTTATTCTACTATTATATCCTAAAAACCAAAAAATGTATTTATTTTAATATTTTTAAAATTATACTTTATTTTATTCATTTCACAAAATATTAATAATTATATTTTTCATAAAGATAATCTAATTTTACTTTTTTTTTTTTTTCAAAATACTATTCTAAAAATTATCAATAATAAATCAGATGAAGCTTAGTCTTGTCTGGTGGCTTGAATAAAGAAGAGTTGTGTAGGCTATGTCGAGTTGAGCTGGTTACAGATAAGTTAGACTTTGAAATTAAAGGAGGGAGGGGTAGTGAATGTAAGGTTTTAAAATAATAAAATAAAGGACAAATTAGTAAAATAATAAAAGAGGCAGGTGTCATGCTCTTTTGGGGTTATAGGAAAAAATGCTTTACCCTTTTGGAGGTAAAGTGTGGTTACTTTTTGGCCAATTAGCAATTCAAACTACCTTTGGGTAACCAACATTGGGTGGCCTATCAGTCAAATAGGACTCTTAAATATATTATTCAGAGGTCCTAAGTTCGACACATTTGAATGTAATAAGAGTGGTCAATGAGGGGATTTACTCGGTTGTCAACTTCAAGGCCTCGGGGGATTAGTTAAGGTAGGTGCAAGCTGGCCCAAACCACACCCCATCATAAAAAAAAAAAAAAAAAAAAACTATCTCTGAGTGATCGATCGGTTCAAAATGGACTTGGGGTGTATTATTTAAGAAGTCCCTCACTCTCATTGAATCTGAAATTTTATGACGTTTGACAAACAAACCTAGTACATGTTGGCCTCATTCTAATTTATTTTTTAAAATAGTTCTTAGAAATAGTGAAATAGAATGAGTATACTAATTAATTGCCCAAAATGCCCCTGAACTGTTAAACTTAATTTGACGGTGTTAGGGTTAGGGGTATATTTTGATAGTCTCCTGCATAAATGGAAGAGTCAAATATCAACAAAAGGTTAGGCGTAATTTTTAAAAATCTCCCTTTTATTTATAATAAAAGATCATCAAAAAATATATATTTTTTAGTTTAAAAATAAAATTATATTAAAGTAATAGAAGTTGTATTAGTTAATAATCTTGATGTGTGCGCTTAGTTCACTACTTATGTTAAAACAGTTTTTGGTTTTAGAGCATTTAATCCTATTGTTATGCCTAAAAAGTCACGCTGATGTCAGCTTAACAAGTGTCTAAAAGATAAAGTATATTAGTTATCAAGTCCATACTACCTCAAAGATATTCATACCAATCCTATCTCATTTTAAGAGATGGATGGATTAGAGTTCTCCATGTGTCAAGACAACTTACAGAACACTCATTGCATTGACCTCAAATGTGTGTAAATAAGCATCTCTCTTCATGAAAGGGGAGGCTGGACATACATTTGAGCTTCATTTCATTATTTTTTCTCTATAAACAAAGTTTTTCTCCATTTTTTCTACGCCTTACGGGCAATATCATAGAAATAGTCAGAGAATAATAAAATCACAGTGGACGTAGGATTCGCTTTTGAGCATCCGAACCACTATAAAAACCTCTCTTCCCAATCTTTTATTTATGTTTCTGCAATATATATAATCTCAGCACTATATTCAAATCTCATGGATCCATCACGTGTAATTTCTAAGACTCTCTTAGCACTTTACAAGTGAAAATCGTTGGTGTCCAAAATTAAGCATCAACACATATTATAACACATTAATCGATATAAATTAGTTTATATAATGAGTTAATACATGTAAATTAGTGTAATAAGATAAGCTACCATGAATGGGTATCCAATTTTTCAATGGGAGTAAACGACATCTCCCACCCAAGATTTGCCTTAATGACACTTTCCCACCCAAAGTTTATATTCTGTTAATACCCAAAATACACTTCACTTTCTCATCCAACATTTGGCGAGTTACCAGGAGTTAGGGTAGAAGGGTTTTCTAAAGTGGAGACTGGTGGATCGAATGGTAGTAACCGATTAAATATTCGTTGTCGAAATCAGTCGAAAATTAGCTAAGAATAGGAAATCTTAACTTTGCAGTGACCAGCAATCGGTGAGAAATCAGGTGCTTGAAGTTGAGGGGTTTTGTAGAGAGGAGGCTGGAGGTTCAAATTTGTTGTCGAAATTGGCTTTGAGTAGTAACGGAATATTAACTTTGAATGGAAAAGTGGTGTTTTGAAACTTTTGAGGTGGAAAAATGTCCTTAAGGCAAATCTTGAGTGAGAAAAGATTGTTTACTCTTTCCATGGACATTAAGGCTCTGTTTGATTCACTCTTGAAAATAGCATTTTGAGTTTTCCCAATAAAGTTAAACAGTAAAATTGGCTTATTCTCAAAATATTATTCAATTTCTTTTAAACCCTCTAAATTTGTCAATTTAACTAAACACCCCCAAATATTTTTTTTAGAAATTACAAAAACACCCCAACAACCCACATTTATCAGATTTCGACCACCACTGTCGGAAGCTGGCCGAAATCTGGTATAATGGCGCACTACCGGCTGAATCTGGCCGGTAGTGAGCCGATCTAACATTTTCCGGTCAGATCTACAGTGGATATGGCCGGAAAAGGCCAAATCTACGGCCAAAGATCTGGCCGTCAACGGCCAGATCTTTGGTCATAGCCAGTCGTCAACGACAGCTAAGATATGGTCGTCGTTGACCATCAACGACGACCGTATCTTTGGCCGTCGTTGACTACCAAATACGGCCAGATCCACATCGGCGCACGAACGGCAAGATCCAGCCAGTCATGCGTCGATACGTTGACTCCGACCATCCTTCGACGGTGGTGGCCGGCTGTCTGTATTTAATGGGTGGGTTGGGGGTATTTTTATTAACTTTTAATATTTATTATAGGGGTGTTTAGTAAATAAATAAATATAGAGGGTATTTTAGTAATTTTTAAATCCTACATCATAATACCTACCTAATTTAATTTGTTTCAAAATATTATTCTAAAAAGTATTATGATAATGTACTAAATGGACCCTAAGTTATGTATGTGGCCTGACATCCGTTGAATCTTATAAATCTGTTTAATTCTCTCTGTGGGGGTGTGCATTTGATAATAACTCTTCTGGTCCACAAAATACAGAGGTACTCTGTAACTAATGCCTTATGAATTGGTCATTGAAAATGGCCTGTAGATAAAAGGAAATCCAGCCACATATTTCTTTGTTCCATAATGAGTTCTAATTCATGGTCTCAGTTAAAAGGAAAACCATTTGAAGCCTGAATTGATGTTTTTGATTTCAATTTGCACTGGAACTATTATTCTTACTTTTTGCCATTTTAGACCAAATACAATGAACACGAATGTCACGTGCGACAGCAGTAAGCCAAAGCAGGACCACTCATTTTATCTATGATTATGATTTATGAACCAAATGTAAAGTTTTTATGAACCAAATTAATCTAACCTTTTATATAATTTTTTTTTTATTTTTTTTATTATTGGGATTGCTCGAGCTAACATACGGATACTTCAACTAATCTCTTGAGACCCTAGAACTATCGGTCAGGTAAAAGTTCTAGTGGTTACCCTTATTAGCAACCGTGAAGAAACTTGAACTCAAGACCTCTAGAACAATACATCCAAGAGTTTTTATCAAACCACTCGATCACTCAAACCCTAAACCTTTTATATAATTGCACAGCCTAAATGAATACATTATTTTTTTTCTCCCGGTTACAGATTAAGTTAAATGATTAAATTGATTTATAAAAGATAAAACTATATTTAAAAATGAAATTAAAAAATTAACTTATTTGTAAG